CATACATTTGAGCAGTAAATAGCAGCAGACTGGAAGGGCCTTTTTTCATTATCACATCCAATCTCGCACTTTGGCATGACGTTAAAGTGAAGGAAAAAAATCAAATGGTTTGCCAGCTTTACCCAACTTATCGTGAAATCGCCCGATCGAAACATTAACGTCCCCTTTCATAGACTACGGTGTACTTTTATATTAAATATATGTTATTGTCATTAACAACCAGAAAATCAAAACATGAAAGTAGGACAAACACTTGACACCTTGATCCGAAAAAGCTCGATTGATTGAAAAGAAGCGAGAGCAAATCAATGAAAAAAAAAAAAAATGGAAAATTCGGCTTTTCTCAACAAAGTAGCGTCAACACCGTTAAATGGCATCCCCAGCCCCACTGTAGAGAAAAAGTGCAGTGCACATTTTTTTCTGACCCGACGAACAAACGAATATGAAAAATGCAACGTGGCCAAGAAATATATACCCTCCATAAATCACTGCGCTCTGCTAAAATATTTACATTCCAGGTGCGCGACGGGAAAGAAAAAAAAAAAAAAAAACCAATAATAACCAGTTTCACGCGAAGAGAAAACCCGTGTTGACCTCTCGAAGGTCATTGATTGATTGACTCTTTTGTAATTCACTTCTCTCGTGGTGACGCAAAAAAAACATCGGTAAAAAGCAGTGCAGAGACTCGAAGAAAGGGAAAACACATTTTTTAACAAAAGTTTTGCTCGTTGAGTTACTCTTTCATAGCCGCGTGTGAGAGAAAGAGCCATAAGTCTGTCTTCCCTAGAGTCCATCTATAAAATCGTAGACAAAGAACAATGGAAAGGCGGAGGTGTTACATCCTCTGAAAATTGTTCAACTGCTTCCTTAGATCTAACATGATTCGTTGATCAGTTGGAAGAGAGAAGAAAAGGATACAAAGAGGAAAACCGAAATGATCCCCGAAAATTCGGAAGGAAAAAAAATTTACTCTCAGAGAGGATACAAACAACTCAATCGAGCCTCTCCGAGTAACGCGGAACGTTTTCTTTGGCAGCAAAAAAAAAAAAGATAGAAAGAGGGGGAAAAAAGAAAGAGAAAAAGATCGAATCGGAGCAAGAGTACACCGAAAAGAAGCATCAACCGGTAGCTGCGATAAAGCTCTCTCTTTCTTTCTGGCCGGCACCTGAGAAAATCCTTCCTCGCTCCATCCGTGTAGCTATCGGTCGGTTATTTATGCCCGTCCGGCTATCTGTCTAGTTAAGCATCGGACCATCTGCAATAACGAACGATCGTTCGGGATGTATGTGCGTGTACCGGACTCCCTACTTATCTCACGGGGGCTGTTCCACTGTAAGTATTACTCCTCTGTTAATCTTCTCTGTCTCTCTCTCTCTCTCTCTCTCTCTTTATTCCTCTCCCTCTGCTGTACTTACCTACCGTTCTTCTTCTTCTTTTTTTTTTTTTTTTTTTTCACGTTCCCTTGATGCAGCGTCTATGCTGGATACTTCAATCCACGGCTGTACTCTCAGTCTTGGGGCAACAACTATATCAATATCGACCGGAACGATAATTCATTTGGTGAGTTGGTTTTTAAAAATTACATTCTCGGCTGTGTCGTCAAAGTATGCATTACCATAAAAGACTGGATACTAGAAGGTTAAATCTTTGGGATGGTAAAGATGAGGAGGAACAGCTAAGGGGAGCTTTTGAGTATAAACTGCGCTCTACCTTCGCTCCTGCTTTCTGGCTTTGGGATAATGTTTCTCGACGTTATTTGCTTTGCAAGAATGCATCCAAAACAAACTCCGTGTATTCTGTGCGATTGTTTCATCCAAAATGTTTGCAATGCTGGGTACTGGGTCACGAAAGAAAGAAGAAATTATCTTCCCAGCTTTAAAGTTGGATGGAAAAAAAACAACTGAAAACAATGTCCATACTTCTTTTTTAACGAGTATAATGACGTCGTAGGTTATCTTTCAGTCGCGTGAGTGGTGCACAAGTACACGACCAAACACGTCGTATAGTAAGTACTCGAGCAGCCGTAATGATCGAGGATGGGCGTATATTTTTTTATGCGCGTCTTCCCAAGTTTGCCGAGCGTCAGCATCAAAGAAGAATCGGTAGGGAGAGATCAAAGCACTAGACACACACACATATATATATTTATCCAGCATCGCTTGGTGAAACAAACTTGCACACGGTGAAAAAGTATAGGAAGCACCCCTGAAACTTGCGTATCGAATTTCTAAGATTTCGCATCCCTGACGTTCCTTTTTTTTTTTTTTTTTTTTCTTTCTATTCGTTCGTTTTCTTACGCGCTCGTGAAAGAAATAAATTGTCTCGATATTGTCTCGCGGGAAAATCAGTCCTCGACTCGTGGGGAAACTTTACTGCGGCTATTGCTGCGACCGCGTACACATGTTACCCTTTTGCAATTTCGCATAAAATCTGATCATCTCTGGCATGAAAGTGTAAAAAAATCGACAACACCTGCAAGTATTTTTGAAACCCAACTAGGAGGCAGTTAAGAGATTCACGGAATAAAAACGTCATATAAAATCCCAAAGCTCCGAAAACCTATGCCACCTGAAAAAATGATCGTTCCACAATAGAACGACAAGAAGAGCGTACGTACGTCAACCCGAGACACAGAGAAGAGGATAAAGATTCGACGGAAAATATCAGCTCGGTGACAGCTCGACGGTACAGCTGTACTCCTACCGCATTGCAAGTAAGCCGCTCGGTTGTACCCCCGTGAGCAGTGCCATATTCACAAACCTAAAACAGGAGGGAGGAGCAGAAGGAGCTCTACTCCCTACACGAATGGGATCGGTCTAGCCCCGATCGCTGGCATCACTTTATTTCCTCGCAGCGACTCGAAAAATCGAACCTATATATATACACACACATACACACAAGTCCTTTATTCGTTTCCTTTCTCTCTGTCTCTCGGCTCACCGCTAACGGCTGTGTGATTTATCGTTATTGTCAAGTCGTTATCTCACGGCCATTTCACTCCTGAAGCGCGGCGAGAGAGAAAGGGGGTGCAGAAAAACACATAGCTTCTGAAACGCGGCCTGCCTTCTATTTTTCTCGCGCGGCGTCTTTTATCCAACACCAAATCGAATCTCTCGGGATGTAACGATGCTCGCTCGTTAGCTCTAGCTGATTTTTTTTTTTTTTTTTTTTTCCTTTCCATCACCGTTTCATCTCGTTATGCTCTTTTATCGATTTTTCTTCTTCATGTTCGTACACGCGGAGCTTGTTTTTCCGATCTCCGATGTTATTATAGCTTCAACATCAGAGGTACACTATATTTATCTCCGGGGAAAATGAGCGAAAAATACTTTCAATCGTTGTCACTGGCTGATACAGCAATGATACATGGTTGTGCGTCACGTCTTACCGAAACTGGCTTGTTCTACTTGAGATAAAAATGTATCTACGTGGCAGCAGCGTACCACGTATTTATTTTCGTATCAGTGCCACAAACTTTTGTATCAACTTGCAGCATCGCATGCATTTTCCGTAAAAGTTTACAAACTGCTGCGTTTACCTCGTAATATCAGCACGATAAAACGCGCACGTACGCAACATTGTACAATATATGATGCCCACGGAAATTAACGTCAAAAGTGACTAATAACTGGATTATTTGATAGCTGTTTGTTTCGTATGGAGCGTAAGGGAGTGCTGGAGCTCATAATAGCTATAGGGACGCTTCAAGTGGCGAGTACATGTATGTTCGCGGAGGCCACGCGTGTGTGTCAGCTTTAGACAAGAGAGCCGTAATTGAGCTCGACGTTAATTTGACGTTTTGTTGGCGGCCCAACTGATTTGTTTATTAAATAGATCATTCAGGGGTTAATCGATCACTCCTCGTCAAAGTACAATTTATGCCAGGGACTATCTACTCTTTGGATATACGGAGCTGGGATTTTTTAATGTACCTGTAGGATATATTATTCTTGTTTAACTTTAAAAAAAAAAAATCCGAATATCGATGCACTGCGTGTGCAGAGAAAAGTTTGGTATTTCGTTTAACTCGGTATTTGTCGTTGAAATTATATGCACAAGCTGGGGACGTTAAGTAATTAATTGTTATTTTTTAAAATAAAAGTCCGTATAAATATATCCGGAGTAAAAATATTACTCCGTTTCGGCAAACGTTGCGTAGTGCAATCTGTGACCCCGACTTTTTCTTGACTTGATTATTCTAATTATTTTAATTAAATAAAAAAATAAAAAAAATTTCAAACTATATTTTTCCATCTTCCATACGTTTTAAAAAACAAAGTAACAACTATGAAAGTCGATCGTCAAATCCATCTCTTGCATACCAATGTTGTTATCTTTACGGGCAAAGCGACAAGGAGAAAACCAAACTTTTAATTAACTAAAAGTTTTCAAGAACCATTCGTAACCAGAAAGTTAAACAAGCAGTGTGACCTCCTTTCACGAAAGTATATTGTTGGAGGGAACTAAAAAGTCGTTGAATATTTCTCAGTCACAAAATAAAAGTGACACTGGTGAAAGTACACTTTGTTAATTAAAAGTATCGATAGTGAAAATTTGAATGCACGCTGGTGCCATTTGCTTCCGGTTTACTTTGGAGTATTGATTGGGCTTCAAACCAATTAGGCAAAAATACCCTGAAAATCCATTAGTCCTTACCAATATGGCTCTGTTTTCGATTTTATCCATTTCTACAATATCTCACACGTTAAACAATGTATGTCAAAGTGGATGTCGCAGATAAGTAAGTAATTTGAAAAGGAAAATCTTACCTCGGATTATTTCTTCTTCTAGACATCAGGAGTCGTGTACTTGAAGCCTCGTGTCCTTTGAAGTGATAAAACACAAACTCAAAAGTTGGAGGGAAAAAAAAACAAAAATCTTCAAAATTAATAAAAAGAAAAGCAAATGAATATCAAGTCAATTAAATTTCCCAACCACTTGTCGTCGAAGGGTGAAAGAAAAAAAGGATCCACAGTCTTAACAACGAAATTTCCCTTATCCTTTATTATTGTCTATATGTACAATCGTTTCTCGCCCGCCTTCTCCGGCCCCTTCCTCTTCTCGAACAGAGAACACATCGTACAATACACGTACATCATACATATAACATGTATACAAGAATCAAAATCACCTTAAAGCCTAAAAGAGTCTCTTGGCGCGTCCCCCTATATACAACTCTCCTGTACGCGCAAGCTCTTGGTATAAACATCCGGGGCCTTGTGCTGCTGCACCGGCAGTGTGCTGGGCCTCGTACCCCCCTGGGCTACCAGTTGGATCCTCGAGTCGTCAGGGCCCACCTGCTGGCAGTCGCCGTTTTGCCAAGGCCGGTCGTCCTGCTCGAGGTGCCGGCGAAAGTATTTGATCCGCTCGGGCTTGGACGCGTAGTTGGGCTCGAAGACCTCGGGTCGCCTCTCGGACTTGCTCGACGCTATCACGTCCGGGTCGTCCTCTGCGTCCAGCTGCTGCTGGCCGAAGGATGCCAGTGTCCCTGACATGCCTGCCGTCGTTGGGCTCGTTGTCGTCGTCGTCGTTGTCGTTGCGGTGGTTGCGCTCGCCGTTGATAGCCGAGCGAAAGTGTCGAAGGGCGAGTGGGGGCTCTTGGACGCGCTCATCCAATTTTGGTGGACCTCGTACTCTTGGCGTACCTGTTTGGGGAAAGCCCGTTTCTTTGGTTGCTTTGGACAACTTGTTCCTCAAGAGGATTCAACTAGGACTAGAGTCAATAAAACAACCGTACGTTGTGTTGACGATTTTCTTGGGAGTAGGTACACATTTTGTTTTACTTCGTGGCTAGTTTTTCACAATTGGTTTATTATACGGAGTGGAATTCAATCGGTTGATTTGGAGTTGAAAATTTTTGGGTGAAAAATTGATGAGTGCCAGAGTAAAAATATTCAGTGGAATTATACGGAGTGGAAATCGGTCGATTTGGAGTTGAAAATTTTTGGGTGAAAAATTGATGAGTGCCAGAGTAAAAATACACGGTACGTATGCGTAACGATACGGGTTTTGGAATAAAGTGATTCCCGGTATCGATCAACGTGAAAAGTTAAGATTAAAATAAATTTCTACAGCGATGAGCTTGTAAATTATTCTACCAATCGAACTCGAGGTATTTGTGTGACTGTATGACTCGTACAAAAATAAATCGATAACTGAAAAGCTCGTAAATTATCAGAATGGGAAACGATAGAGGATGTCACAGAATAACGGAACGCCATGCCGATTTTTTTAGAGTTAAATTTTTCAATTTACTCAACACGCGGAAATGAAAATTAATTTTGAAAACCCCTCTCGTTCGTCCATTAATCTTAGAAAAAAATAAAAATAAAAATAAAAGAATTTAAAAAAATAACAGTTTACACAATTTGCTTAGTGAACAAGATTGACACAACATAAAAATGTTGAAAAAAAAAAAAAAGAGTGATATTGATCTGCGCTAAGCCGCTACCATTCGGAATTTCAAATATTTATGAGCGATTGAATAAGAGATTTCAATCGAAGATAATTCTATAGCCGATAAATGTTATTTCGGACGCCATTAATAATTTATCAGACAACTCATTAAATTGGTGTAATTTCAATTAATAAAAATAGTAAATACCGACGAGTTCATGGTGAAAATGAACAATTTTAGCAAATTACTAGTATAAAACTAGGAATTAGTGAAATTAACTGTGACAGCACTCAAATAGTTGTAATTCTACTGAGAAAAGGTAAATAGTCACTGTTTAAACGTACGTATGCACCATTTTCCTATGTTGTATACATATACTTACATCTTCAAAGATTTGCTGCTTGCAAATATAACATGCACATCTACAAAACAAAGACTCACCGTTCGCGGGCTAAACTGCAGTTGTTGCTGCAGCTGCTGGTGATCCACGTGGGTTCCTACGGCAGCGAGAGTACCGTGAGTACCGACACCACCAGAGCCCGGCGTGCCGGCCACGTGTACCAAGTGTGTTTGCGTCTTGCTCGGCTGGGGCGGATGGTTGCGCCGATACAGGGTCAGAGTAATGCCCACCATGAGGATGCACACGGCAGTGATGCCACCCGCGAAGACGGCCACCAGGAGACTGTAATCCATCGAGTCACCGCCCGAGTCTCGACCTGTTGCGGAGCAATCAACAACTCAATCTCGCCCACGTGAAATACCATTACTTCCGCCAACCATTCAACACCAGCACAATCGGGATAAATTTTGCCAACAGCGTGTAAGACTATAAAGTAATCTAGATAGGGTGAATGTGAGGGGGGAGGGAGCCGGGGATAAGACGACCACGGAAATTATGGGACGGAGGGAAGGGAGGGGGGCATGAGAATTCCACTAAACGAGAGATACGAGGCGCGCGAGCAGTGACGCGAGGAAGGAGCGGATTTTCAGCGAGCCGAGCATCCCGATAAACAAACAGATGGATCGACCGAGGGTACTTTATGCAGGTGTGGAGTTGATGTGAATTTTCTCACATGGAGAAAAAAAATAAAATGTTTTCCTGCAGAAAAAAAACAAAAAAAAGGGGGGAGGGGGTCAAAAAACAAAGTTACATTTGACAGGTGAACTCGTTACAGGATGTAACGTACTGTGCAGCCTAAGCGCGTACGGGGCAAAACTCGCAATCACGTACCCGTGTACGGTAGACATCTCTCCCTGGAGCCCGATGGCAAGGATCAAGGGTTAATCGTGAATTTTTCCCTTGCTCTTGCACGATACACACGATACTCGCACCAGCCTACGAATGTAGAACACGAACGGAAAAAAGGGGGGGGGAGGGATGAAAGGGAGGCCCGAGGACGAGGGTAGAATGAAACGCGCCGGATGCGCGTTGCGAGAGGCCGACGTACGTATATACACGTAAGCACGAGGTGGCCACTTTTGAATTCAGACGGCGCGCAGGTTCGTTAGCCGAGCAGCGGCAGCTTGATAAATATCCGCGCCCTCGCGTACAGTCCCCCCGTCCGTCTGTGCCTGTGCACGCGCGGGCGGGCGGAGGGACAAAGACAAAGACGGGACAGGTGTATATATATGCGGAGGCTCGTCCCGCCGATCCGTCCTTTCGTTTCCCCGAGGGAGTCGGCGTTCCGCGCCGTCCCTTGCAAGCGCTACTTTGTCTTTTCCTCCTTGCCGATGTTTATGTTGTTGGTGGCCCCGGGGACGTTGTTGGCTTTCATTCGACAGCTGCTGCCGCGATTTCCTCCGACTGGATTATATCGAGTGATCGGTGGAGCTCGCGTTTACTCTAACTAATCGACACCCAACAAAAATGACTTTTCTTCCTTATCCATATATACTGTACAAAAGTTATGGTGTAGTTTTGTAAATTACACCATTTTTTTTTAACAAGTATAAATCGTTTATAGATGATTTCAGTAGCAGCTCAAGCAAGACATGGAAAAATTTACAAAGTTGTACTGGTGCGGCTTAGAGGATGTTAAAAGCTTTCTCATACGTAAAATTAATTAATCGAGGGGGTCCGACGTTTTTTATACAATTTAATAAACCGAGTGAGTCGGGGATACGTCAGTCAGTGGATACTGTTCGACGAGTCGATCGATTCGGCTCGAAAAGAAAATATCAGCCGAAATAACACACGACAAACTTACCGAAATAGCGATAGCTAAGTAAACTAAGTGGTTTCGAACAAATGCTCATCCACCCAAGTTTATCCAAGAATAAAGAGTCTCGTCAGACCTACATTCGATCGAGTTAAGTGCCCGTTCAGTCGACTCGTGTAAAAGCTCCTCCGCCTGCTCCCACCCATCCTTTCTTCCACGTTTCCCCAATAACCCAATGCCCCCCGCGTCTCGCAACAGCTGCCTGTCACGCTGTCGATTACACTGCCACTAGCTCGTACGCGTGAACTTTGTCGCACCAGCTCTCCCCTTCTCTTTCGCCTGTCCTGACTATTCTTCTCACGGGTGGCACGGTACCATCCCCCACGCGCAGCGAGTCGAAATTAGAATGGTACGTGCATTTTACAGTGGGCGCACCACACGGTTTCTCTTTTGCTTGTGCATAATAAGAGTATACACCGATACAGGCCAGGGAGCAAAAGAGAGAAGAACAGTCTATGAAGGGGGGGTGGGAGAAAAGTGCATGAATAACCCATGAAGATGGAAATTAAAGACGATAAATGTGCTCCGAATGAAACAGAGGTAGCTGTACGAGGGACACCGTTGTCTACCTCGCTGTTTTATGGGATTTTAATTCACGACTCGTGGAAACGGAGTTCTATTCCTACCTTTCCCCCCCCCCATCGGCAAATGGGGACCCGGAAAACTAGAAAATACTTTCCAACGCGGAGTGGCGGGAAGAAGAGAAAAGAAGGAAGAGGCGAAAGTTGGTGGATCCCCCAGGAGTACAGAAGGGGAGTCGCGAGGCGCGTTCCGCTCCCAGCACTCGGCAGCTCATTCGATTTTCATGCACTTGTCTCTCCCGTCGCACGGCCGCGCTGTCGGGCCGTAACTTTCCGAGGAGTCCTCCTACGGTGGCTCTGATCGAATTGCCGCGGAAAATACCTCCCACTCGGCTACTCGTGAGACGCGGGTCAAAGTCGCAGCCTCGACGATTGATGGGCGCGAGTCTCTCCGACTGATGAACAATCATAGCTCTCCCTCCTCCTCCCTCCCCTACGATCGGGATGATAACGATCGTTGAAACAGCTATGTGTCGTCTGCAATGATCCGTAGCGAAATAGGATCATTTCTGTATACAGGTGTGCGCGTAATTACTCAAGAGCAGAGTAGTGACTTTTTCATTCGTGGGGGAGAAGGGCAAGGAAGGGTATTTTCGCAAAGTTCCGCGAGTGCGCCTCGTTAGAAATTCAGCCATGTAAATTCCATTGCTTCTCCTAGGACAAGTGATAACGCAAGTGCGGAACTTTTTCTGGGGATCGCCGAGGGTTGAAAAGGAAAAAAAAATGGTCAAATGAGGGGTAAGAGAGAGAGAGACTCACCGGTGGTGTACATGGCCACGCCCTTGAGCGTGACTGGCTCGAGTACGACGGGGTCGCTCCGGCCCTTGGCATTAACGGCGTAGAGCAAGAGCCGGTAATTCCTTCCGGGCTCGAGACCCGGCACCTCGAAGATCGGACCGCCCGCGCCCGAGGCGGCCCCGATGCTGACGCCAACACCACCCCCGGCCCCGGTGCTCGCGGCCGCCGACGCCTTATCCGTGTGATTTATGTAAATCGTGTTGACGTGATAAACGCTCTCGTCGCTGTAGACCTCGAGCTCGAAACTCTTGATGGGCAGGCCGCCGTTGAAGCCCTCGCTGCAGCTCACTATTAGCCAGTCCGCGTCCCGCGCGTCCGTCGCCCTGATATCTTCTTGAGCTGTGGAAACCAAATAACAAATGACGAACGCGTGGAAACTAGACAGTTTTGCTCTTTTTTTTTTTTTTTTTTTTTTCCAGCGCAAGCGTTTCAAGACCCCGCAATGTAGCCAACATCTTTCATTTAATCGCCGTTTAACCGGCAGATAAGACGAGGAGAGCCCCACCGAAAAGATACCCTCGAAATCTTTTGGCCTCCTGCTGCGGTTTATCGGCACTCGACTCTCTAGTCACCTCTTTCTCCCCACCCCTTCCGCGTCCGCAGATAAGGGATCAAATTATTTCCGCGCTTCCTGCAGCGATAGCGTGTGCACAAGCAAACGTGGACGGCTAATTATTATCAAAGGAGCTCGCGCTTCTATTTGCCGTGTAGACCACGAGATTCTTAACAGTCACGTGTTGTTCCCTTCTCGCAACCCAACGAATTCTCTTTTCTGTCCTCCCATTCCGGTTCTGCACTGCGGTGTATTAAAAAGTGGAGTGGAGTTGGTGGTTTTCACTCTGGCGTTGAACAAACGTAGTCTCTTATTTTGGAGAAAGTTACCTTACAGAAAGTTAATTTAAAAACCATCAATTTGAGCAAAAAGTCGCACGAATAAAACTATCAATAGATGCGTCCTTTCAAAGCTTCGGAAACCAAATGGAAATAAATCGCTGGATTTACTTTCGCGAGGCATATTCCTCTTATCTGTCATTGATATAAAACTGCGCGTGCCAGCCATGAGCGAAAAAAAAAAAATTGGAGATCACCGAGAAATGGTAGAAAAAAAAAAAAAAGAAGCCAAAAGAATATCTGAGGGTCAGAGGACCATGAATGTAGGGCTTACTCATGCGATAGGCGTAGGGTCCAGTCGACTGTACGGCCGAGCAGTTCTGCAGAGGGTAGGGCTTCCCGGCAGCTATCAGTTGAAAGAGACAGGGCACCTTTTGGACGCCTATTTTGTTGATAGCCTGGCACGATATGGTCCCGTAGTCCATGTCATTTGCTGGCGTGTAATTCAGCATCGAACCGTGCCAGTGGCTTGTAATCAGGTGCTGGGGACGCACCTGGGCGTACCTCGTCGCCGGGACGCTCATCAGCTCACCCGAGTTGTTGAACGTCCACTGGAAACTCGTGGGAGGTGGCTTGGACTGCACACCGCACACCAGTGATATCGTCTCTTGCTTCAGGGCCCCAACCACCTGCATCGTCGTTCCGTCCTTGCATACCGGCGCGTCTGTAAGTGCCCGTTAAAAAAAAAAAAAAAAAAAAAAAAGTGCATTAAAACACGTAATTTTTTTTTTTCCTTTTCTTTTTTAAGTGCTCATAGCTGCGCCGTCACTTTAATTCCAAGTTTTAAGAGCAGCTGCCTCTTTTGCCTCGATTACATGAGATAATAGCAAGCCTCGGACTTGCACGCAAAGTCTCGAGTTGGGCAATGTTGGGAATCAGACTGAAGGTAAGTGCACGTGCACGAGGTGAAAATTACAGGTGCGAAATTTTACTTGAACGGTGGAAGTAGTAGAAGCAGCAGCAGCTGCATGCATAGTACGACCGACATTGCTGTAATTAACGTTACAGAGTTATCGCGACAGCTTGCAAGGCATGTTAATGTAAAATTGCGTTAATTGTACCTAAAAAGGGTCACACGCGCTCAAAACCTTTTTTTTTCTCCTCTATTTTTGTGTAGACAAGTAGTAAATATAGCATGAATTTATAAAAAATAGTGTAAAAAATTTGTGGCAGTTCAAAATCAAGCACGCAACACCATCGAAAATAGCAGTGCACGGTAGCACATATTCAAAAATGGGTAAGACATTTTATTCAGTAAAAAAATCAGTGCAACGTCAGACCTCTTTGAAATTTCAAATTTCAAAATTCAGTAGAAAAGTTAGTGCATATTCAGCCATCTAGTTTAATAAAATGTAATAGGGTATTACATAGTAAAAATTACAGTATATTATAGTCAGATATCAAAATGGAATTAAAAGATAAAAAATAAAACATTTAGTAGAAAAATCACTGATAGTCAGCTGTGCACAATGATTTAAGAAATTTAGAGAGGCATTGACCAGCAAACAATTGTTTCGTATTTATTCGGCCATTTCAATTCGAAAAGTGTAAAATCACATCAATCAGTAGAAAAATCATTGTATAGTTAGACATGGCATTTTGTTTCAAGTAATTTGGAATGACATTGATCAGTAGAATAATCCATACTATAAACAGACAAGCATTTTAACGGAAAACAAAAGCTCAAAAACAACATTATTCAGTAAGAAATTTATTGTATAGTCAAACATACAGTTTTTAAGTAGATTTAAAGTATGCTGTACAGTAGAAATATTTATACATGCTTAGACATGCGTTTTTATTAAAAACTATATTATTTAGTACAAAAAGCATAGTACTGTCAGATAGATCATTTTATTTAAAAAAAATACTATAACACTGTTCAGTAGAAACATAAACGAATGGTCAGGCTTCCTGTTTTATAGAAACAACTCTGAAAAATAATATTATTCGTTTAAAACTTACAGAGTAGTTAGACATAAGTTTATATTCTACTCTACTCCTCAATAGAAAAGTCACTACATAAGTAGGAACACAATTTAATAACATAAGAACATTATTCGGAAGAAAATTAGTGCATCGTGAGCCCAGCAATTCATTTCAAACGATTTAGGTCAGAATTTCACAGTACAAAAATAATTTTGGTCAGACATGCGTTTTTATGAAAAAAAATGAGCAAAAAAATTATTGTATAACCATGTCAGACATACATTATCATGTTCATTCACGCGTTTTGACTTGAGAAGTCTAGAATCATATTTTTCAGTAGAAAAGTAATTGTATGGTCAGCCATATCTTTTAATTTCAAATATCTAGAACATTATTCAGTAGAAAAATCCTTAGATTATCAGACGTTCATACTGATAAAAATATTCAAGTAAATATTATTCCATCGTCAGACTTGGTTCAAATACAATATTATTGCGTAAAAAAAATTATCTCATAGTCAGACATACATTTTTTAAATAAATTTGAAAATTATTGTGTTCAATAGAAATATTAATACATAATCAGACATGTATTAGAATAGCGTTATTCAGTATAAAGATATATGTAATGTCGTACATGAATTTTGATTGAAAACAGTGATTGATATTCAGTAGAAAAATCATTTTTTAGTCAGACATGTTGAATTCTTAAATGAGTTTGATAAATAGTAAACTTGTGTAGTCATTCATGCATCATGGATTATAAGACAAGAAATAACAAAATTTGATAAGAAACCATTGTATCATAGATATGCGTTTTTATGCAGATTGAAAATAAAAATTTCAGTAGAAATATAACTGTATGGTCAAACATGCCTTTCGATTAAAAAATTATAGAATAACATTTATTCATAAAAAAACTACTTATGTTAGAACACTCTTTAATACAGGTAGCACCGGATTAGCACGCATTGATTTTTTTAAACAAAAGAGTTGTAACAACACAATTCAGTAGATAAAGCATAACGTCGTTACACTCATAAATAAATTATTTTAAAATAGCAAGAGCATAATTAAGTAGAAAAGTCATTGTATAGTCAGACATATTAATTTCACATAAAAATGTTGTTAACTAACAAGGTGATTTGACAGTAATTGTAACAATAATTATTAATAATAACAATGTTTAGCACTCTTATCGTTCGATTCAGAGTAAATAAACCTCGCTTCCAAACAAAGTCATGCACGGCTACCACGAAATAAACCTGTAACTACGATCATCACTAAAATAAAGCTGCAACAACATGATTTCGGACAATCGTCGCGTCTACGCGTATTCACCCGAAAGTAAACACGGAAATTTTAATTAAAACATCACCGAGTACGGGGCCACATTTATTCACCGAGACAGTTTAATTTTATCGTCTCGCGCCAGGACATCACATCCGCCAGCTGTCGACTCGCGCTGCTGCTTCTATAACACATATTTATCAATGAACATATACAGGTTCACGTGTGCCATTATTGGCCATTTGCGTAGCAAAGTTTACCGATCGCAATCACAACAGTTGCAGTATTATGGATGCAATATCCTCCACAATCCCAAAAAACGAGAGACCAAAGAACTAGTAGATTCAGTTTTCTTTTTTAAAAGGTCAAAACGTTTGACGATACGTGCCATTTAGGTGAAATAAGTTTGTCGTTGGTAATTGCACTAAACAGAGGTCAAACGCGTGCGTGTTAAAAGGAGCCACGGTAAGGTAGTAGTACTCTGTAAGCCGATACGTTAATTCTAGCCTGCTGTGCATCTGAATACGAGGGGGCCACGAGGACGGAGCTTGCGGACGCGTGCGAATGCATGATAAACGAGGAGCCACCTTAATTGGCGAGAAGGGCGCGCATGCTTTGGCTATACCCCTTAATTACCCGGGCCCGGGGAGCGGGTAAGCTGCATTACTCACACATTACGTCGAGTGTGACCGGCCGGCTGATGGCTTTGCCCTCGTCGTTGGTGGCTTGGCAGGCGTACTCTCCCGCGGAGGCGCGGGTCACGCTCTGGAGTACGAGGGAGTTGCCGCCCGGCAGCATCACGTTGGCCGAGGCGTTCTTCTGGATTTCCCGGCCGTTCTTGAACCACACGAGTTTGTAAGCCGTTGGGTTCGACGTCACATCGCACTCGAAGTACACGTCGTCGCCCTCGTTTATGTCCGTCGCTCGCAAACTCGAGCCCAGCTTGATTGATACTTGCGGGATGTCTGCGAGATTAGGGTGCGATTAGGGGGGAAAGGTGACGGCGAGGGGTGTTTGCGGATCGTTAACTTTCGCGAAAGAGTTTGGTTTGCTTTTATAGCGTTGAAAAGGAAAGCTTTGGGAGACTCACAGTGCACCTCTAGCTGCCACTTGTCCTCGAGCGCGCTGGGAATGACGGGGTTCTCGGCTCTGCAGGTCAGATTTTTGCCGTCGTCCGCGATCGTTGGCACGTAACTTAGCGTACTCCTCGTCATGTTTGGGCCCTCTATCACCTGTGCAACACTTTTTTGTTTAACCACAATATCCCGAGTTTAAATATACCCCGCTACGTGAACAATTTGAGTTTTGTACGTATTTTTCAATTTTTACGGCCATTTTACCATTTAGATACAGCTGAACATAGTTCTATCATTGTATGAATGAACCAAGAGATGAAAACAATTTTTAACTGTTTTTCTGATCCGTTGGTACACGATAAGAAAGGAAATTTTGTAAATTAGTGCCAAAATAGATTGTAACTTGGTTTAAAATTATATCGGTGCTGATCGTAGTGCTGACTATTTCCCTATCAACTAACGATATTCTACAGAAGATCGAAGTACGCGAATTTGATAATTTTAATATCTCGATGACAACACATTGAATCTCGACCACGGATTCGTGGTAATTTCACCCATAAACGATTTTTGTAGATGAAAAATTAAATACAAAAGTCAATGGTGCACGCAGCCTGCAGTAGAAAAACAAAAACAAAAATAGGTAAGCATATTCACGTTTCTGGCCATCTCTTTGACTTGGTGGCTGCCCTTGTACCAAGTGATGACAGGCTCGGGCCTCGAGCCCGAACTTACGCATTCGATCTCGTAAGTACTCATGGCCACGAGGTAGGGCGCTTTGTTCGTAATATTAACCACCAGCGGCTTCACTGCAACGAAATCACGGCACTGTCATTTAGGAAGCCATGTTGAATCAATTAAAAGAGTGGAAATGGTTATAGCATCTTTGCTCAGAACGCTGATGCATCAACTGCACCTTCGAGCGAATATAAACCCTCCCACGTTTGGTATATCATTAGTCATAGATTGTACAAAAATAACAATAACTGAGTAAGAAAGGAAAACAGGTCACTCACAGTTAACATCGACGATGATCTCGGCAATTGTCGGGGCTACCAGGTCCGTGTTGCTGGCCTGGCAGACGAACTTGGCGCCGAGGAGGTTGCGCGCGACGCGGCCAAAGTTCAACGGATTGACCGTCACGTCGTACTCGCGGGTGTAGCTCTCGTCGACGAGTCGGTCCTGCCAGTGCCAGGTGAGCCGCGGTGGTGGCCAGCCCCCCGACACCTCGCAGAACAGCACGAGCTCGCTGCCCTCGTTGAAGGCTTGCAGGTTTTTTGCCAGCACGTGCTCTCCCGTGTAGATTATCGGCGACTGCGGTGGAACTACTCGACAGGGGGGTCAGTACGGGTCTTAGCATGGGGCGGGAGAGTGCGCTTTTCCAAAGCTCGTGACGAGAAAGCAATGCTCTGCCCTTGGAAAAAATATTCGCTCGGACGATAAGTATACCGTTCGAGACTGGGGCGCGACCGGCAGAGAACACCAAAGCTACTACAATGGTAATTTCGTCATTCATCAATGGTATTTTGGTTAAAAAATAATCGATTGGCTAACAGTCGCGGCATAGGTGTTACAATCAGCTCAGGAACGGATACTACACTACTAACATCGACTTAAGTTCGGGCGTCCGTGAAATTCTACACCGTTTCGACATCAGAAAATATTTAGGGAAATACGTGCGCGGACGTAATGTGCCGGTAATGCATTACGATGTTAATTACAGGAGATTAATCGACCTGACGCTGACACGTTCGTAATTGATATTTTGGCTTTGGCCGTGCCATTTATCGATACTTTTTCCCCTATCCTTTTTTCTTTCACGATACATCTCGATGACTTTTTTTACGAAAACGGAGCGCCGATGCTGGAGTTTTTTTTTTTTTTTTTTTTTTTTTTTTTAAATCACACGTTTTTATTCCAAGATCGGTAATTTAACGATGCTCGCTCGTACACTTGTGAGCATAAAACACACGGAGCACGCGATCCGACGAGCTCCCAGTCTCGAGTGTGAATTCCCATTTCGATGTCTGAATAATTCAACTGCCCTTCACGTACATCCCCGCATCACTTCTAAATGTATCATTTTGATAAATGTTCTCTCTCGACACCCCATATCGAACAAACAATCAAAAATCGATCGTTCCTTCTCTGCAAAAAAAAAAACCAACTCACCAATGACCGTGAGATTGAACCTCTGAGCTTTGGTGGGATTGTTGCGAAAGTCGATCCTGCACCTGTACAACCCAGCGTCCTCCGTCCTGAGCTCCCTGATCTGCAGCTCTGCCCTCTGGGGTGTCATGCGGACGCGCGCCCTCTCGCCCAACACGCTCGGGTTCGACCACTGCCTGCCCTCGATCAGCGCACCCTTGCGCCCGTCCACGCTGTAGATCGGCGAGCCCTCGTGGTCCGACTTGTACCAGAACACCATGTAAGCCTCCTCGCTCCGCGTCTGCGGTGTTATGTCGCACGCGAGGTGGGCCTCCCTGCCCGCGACCGAGGCCACCTCCACTGCTGGCACTGGAAACAGACAACAAACGGAAAGGACCTTTATAGAGTGCCATTTTTTTTGTACAATTGTTCGGGGATAAGGGGACTACTGTGATAACACGTAATTAAATCGAGTGTCTTTCAACTGCATTTCACGATTATCCGAGTTGGCAGGGGTTTCGAGTACCACAGAGGGGATTTTTCAAAAAGCGCGGGCCTTTGAAGCGAAGAGCACCTGGAGCGGCGCGATTTATTAATATCAAGAGCGAGAGTCGGTGGGAGTGGAAAAGCAGGGTACGCGGAGGGGGTGAATTTACAACCGCGGCGTTTAAAGTCAAAAGAATTGCTCGGGCGAGTTATTATCATCATCGGGCGCTTTGCGAAGTAATAAAATGTAGGTCGTGGACGGGAGGGCTTTGCCGGGGAGGGATGTAATATAATGCAAATGCGAGCTCCTCCGCGCTTCATAAGTAAGTGCACCGTTGGGGGGTAAAAGGGTTTTTCATACAAAGATGCAAGCTTCGAGGGGAAAAACCGGCGCTGCTCTTTATTCCCAAATCTTTTAATTTATCATCGAACGAGAACTACTGGACCCTCCTTTTTTTTCGTTTGCTAAGCTGGCTTTGAATTTTCAAATGGAAGAATCCGGCTCGTGAAGAAGCCAATGAACATTTTTCTCCAACAAGTGCGACGTCGGATGGAGAACTTTACGAGTCCCTGAGGAACTTTTTACTGCCAAAATTATCTTCCAAATTTCTCAACTCTTTTATTTCTTCTTTATTCTCAACACAACAAAAAGAATTTGAAATAGCAGTGACACATCGCTGTCACTGGCAGTGATGACCCTCTTTGCTGTATCAACGAAAGAATCCCTTGTCCCATTGTTTTTATTCAGCTAACGCTCGGTGTTCAACTCACCTGTACTCACGAAAATGGTACGGGGCACGCAACACGACATTACGCGTATACATTGCAAGGTGTGCAGTAACAAAGAGTTGGCTGCCGATGCCGATGAGTATAAACTCGGTGTGCGGCAACAACGCGCAAAACAACCAAAGGAAAGAAGGAGAGACAGGACGAAATGAATGGGTGTGTACACACGTATTGCGCACTGCGTCCACGCATACACGCACGACTCCCAAACGGGAGAGAAATATATTTATGTGCGCACATAAGGTACGAGCCGGTACATACACCTATGTATGCATATATAGGTGTACTCGCGCAACAGCCAATTAATCGGTCGGACCCCTCGGATATTTACGATACCCGCTCGCACTCGAGAAAGAGAAAGATAGCCCCCCCTTCCCAGCGCGGATGCTTTTATCGGACGCTCTACCGCCACCGCTCTACCGTCCCATCAATTGTTCGGCCCCAGCTCATAATATGTGTATGGCCATAATACTTTCTCACATTATCGCTCTCCCTCTTTGTTTGTCTTTGCCGCTGTTGTTGTTCCGCCCTTCCGCGGACAACTGCGCCCACACGCTCCCCCGTAACTGTGTGCCCCGTGTATACGTGTGTTTAACTTTCGTGGCGGAGGATGAAATTACGCGCCCACTGCAATCAATCTAATGGAATGAATAACGAAAAATCGTTATGGTGTGCTCGTCGCACGGGTGCCCAATGCGTAGCTGGACTTGAAAACTTGCGGCTCGAGTTGATGGCCCCCGATGATTTTGTCATTTATAATGCACTTTTTGTTGTTCCTTTTCTCTCTTCGAACCGCAAAGATCCGCGGTGCCCCACGGTGCGCGGTACACGTACATTATTACCGATGTGGAGCCAAGCTAGAGCCTCGGAAATTAATCACCGGCCCCCGGCTTTTATTTCTCGAGCTCGTGCAAACGCGACTTGTGATGGGCACTATATGCGTGCGATTGCGCCTTTCGGCTTTGCTTTAAATCTCATTTGGGGCTCGCGTACGCGCGTTAATGTGATTAATTGCTCCCCGAACGGTTTTGCCTTTGGATTTTCCGTGGTACCGGGACTCCCTCGGCTGCTCTGATATTTGCCCTGTACTAAATCGTACATGTGTATTATATATACGCTGTAGCATGTCGGTTGCGATAGACTCGTTAACTATAGTCGGGAAATATACGTACACCAGGGGGGCGTCGAGGGATTTGTATTTTTTTTTTCCCCTCACTAACATTGTACTTGCCAAAAACGGTGTGTTTCACCCCGTGAAATGAATAATTTCCAAAGTAATGGATTTTAAATTAATTTCCGCGTGCCCTCGTGAAATAAAATCCAACGTTTTAAAATTCATCGCTGCGCGTGTAAAGAGGCACCTGCTCTCGATCATATTTGTGTACGTGGGTGAAATTTACATATAGGGAGGAATATCCTCTAATTGCCTTATCGAGACGACTCGTGCAAAATAAGTTACGTTCTTCGCTTCAGAAACGCGCTTTTGTGGCCCCCTGCTTTGTCTCGTCGCTATAATACCACGAGAGCATAGTGTATTATCGATGATGGGGTAAAAAAGCAGCGTTGCAACGATAACGCGTAAATAAAGGCGTCGCACACCCCGTGCATACGTTATACACGCACGTGGACGTGAGAGCGTAAATTATTAAACAATTTTACGAGAGCCTAACCTGCGGTTGGGGGGTAGAGACGATCGTAAATTGGGAAGGTTTATTTTCAATAAAATACACCCTTCGGGTGCGATTTCGGAAAAAGTATTTTTCGCTGATAATTTCCCATTTGAGTGCCATAAAAAAAAGTCTCTCCTTCGGCAAATTCGTTTTCGCATAAAAATGCTCCGTGTGGCGGGGTGGGGGTAAAGAACGAAGAGCCCCGAAGACTTAAGAGCTAAAGAAAGAGATATTGCTCGCGAAAGAGAGAGAGAGAAGGGGGAAGCGTAATGGAGATGATCTTCGTTCGGAGGATTGTAAATTTTGTTAGCGTGTGTGTATTATGTGGGTCAGCCATCGAACGCACGAGATGTGGGAAAAACTCATTTCCACTCGTTTGCTCGTTACTGCCGTGTGTTACTTTTAAATTAACATGATAGACGACGATGGTTAGATGTATATGCGGTACGTGGTTCTTCATTTCACGTGCACTTGATACTTGTATCGTCAGGTCCGAGTCGCGCATTTTATTTTTAACGATCCGTTTTAAATGTTAATCAACGAGAGCGTAGTACAACTTTTCTCCATCGAACTTTGAGGCGTGCGCATATATTTTTTTTTTTTTTTTTTTTTTTTTTTTTTAATTGCACTCCGTTTCACACTTTATTCCACGACTTTGCGAAACTTTGAAATTAATTTTTACACTCTTGCGCGCCAGCTGCTCCTCTCTTCTTCTTACACCCACCACCAGAGTTTCAACTAAAATTTTCCATTTGCATTTTCGAACTTCATTTCTCATCCGTGACTAGGTGTGCGCCCACCACTGAGCTACGGTGTTAAAAAATAATCGACTACACTAAAAAATAACTGCACCTTCGTACTCGCGCACATGCGCAATGAAATAAATGATAAAATGATACACGTCCGTACATCAAAAAGAGGGAGTCATTGTCATTGCAACTTCGTGAATTATCTAGCAACGTAGTGATAACTTTTACGCTTTAATTTGCTTAGCAATCATTTACATAGCATTGCATTTTCTCATAAATTGGACAGAAAAATAAAAACAGATACATCATAAGTAAGCAGGTATCATTGTGGGAGCCGAGAGCCGTTAAACTATAGTATTACGATTTCAAAGGCAGTCATTTTTTCGCTCCTCGACGAGTGATGCCTGGCTCTTCGTGCCCCTATCGCGTTACATTCCAATGGAGAAAAAAGGCCAAGCCAAGAGACACAAAGTTTCCACTTGGTATCAACCGTTGGCGGTTCCCCTCTGCACTTGGCACGGAAAAAAAAAAAAAAGCTCCGATCGCCGTACGATGGGAACGCTAATGCCAGACACACACTCGTGTGTACGTGCCCCCCCGCACGTGTACGCACGTGTTCGACTTGACTTTTCGCAGGAGCCCACGAGGCAATATAAAGCCGTTCCCCAGCGATTGTTTCGCGATGAAAGAGAGGAACGAGCTTGGCGTACACGTGCTCCCGACCGATTATCCGGGAAATAACTTTGCCGATACTTTCATCCCACTTTGTTGCCCCTCCCACCCCACGCGCCGCCGAGTTACATGTTATTCCACTTCTAATCTACTACGCTACTTTTTTTCTTCATTTCTTTCCTTCGTTTACAGTGGCAATAGCCTTTTATCGTTATGTTTGACTTGACGTCAATAACCGTACTTTAACGCTTCATTTGAAAAATTACCTATAATTTATCTCCTCGACGTTAATTCACGGTGCAAGCAGTCGCATCAATTTGGCTTGTCAATCGGACGTATGGTAACTGACGTGTTGGAAATTTGATGTACGAATAACTAATTGTGAGATAAAATTGAACTATTTTTAAAACTTTGACCACATCTCTGTTAAAAATCGTACATAAATAACTACACTAGTTACCCCGTTTTAATGGTTCAATAGTTAATTTGATTTCGCATTTTGACAAGTGATATTGCGATCAAGTTACATGATTCACGAAGGTGAGAGGCTAAAACAGTCGATAGGTATGTACATTGGTAAGTGCGATCGGTGCTCCTTTCACGTTACAATGAACCGAATAAAATTTGCACACATGTTCAAGTGATACATTATAGGCACATCTTGTCAAACGACTTTACGAGCATTTTTGTATTTTTTGCCAAAACGAGATATAAATACTCGTTATACCCAAACGTGAGTGTGTAAGTGCGCGTATAGTATGTATGTCAAGAGAGAAGCGCCCCGTTGAGAACGCATGAAAATACATTTCCGAGACGATTCGTAGACAAAAAAAAAACAAAGTAGAAAAATATTTCGAGGCGTATACCCGCGTCGAAGGGAGTCTTGGGAAAATACCTATATGTACGTGTACGTCGGACATGACGTGTGTATAACAAACGGAATGCGACGTATGCGAGTGCATCGAAAAAAACAGCTCGGATGCGAGACAGACGCAGCCACTCATAC